CCCGCCTCCGCCATCGGCCCGAGCCGCCGGGGCCGCGGGATGCAGGGATGCAGGGATGCGGGATGCAGGGATGCAGGGATGGGGGGATGTGGGATGCCGGGATGTGGGATGCGGGATGCAGGATGCCGGGATGCAGGGATGCCGTGGATCGGGATGCGGGATGCCGGGATGGGGTGATGCGGGGATGCCGTGGATCGGGATGCCGGGATGCAGGGATGCCGTGGATCGGGATGCTGCGGATGCCGCGGGTGGCAGCAGGCGCTGCCCCAGCTCGCCCGGCTCCCGGCTCTCCGCTCCCGGCTTGCAGCCCGGCTCTCCTCCCCAGCGCCGGCTTTGCTTTTAAGGTGGAATGCCAAAAATCATGCTGCAGACGCTCTTTCCTGCGAGGATTGGGCTCTCAGCTCAGAGCTTTCACCCTTCCCTTTCCCCCCTGCCGATATCTCCAAGGTGCCTTTCCAAGCTGCTCGGGGGCAAACTGAGGAAAGCTGCTCCGGCCAAAAGCCGAGGCTTGCCCCGGCACCGCTTCCCACAGCCAGCGCTAGCCTGGCTTGCCCAGGCAATTAGAGCCACACAGAAAGAGTTAAAACAAAAATCTGTACAGTGTGATAGAAGAATTTTCAAGATCAGATGCACAACCGCAGAGCTGCAATTGCATATACATATGCTGGAAAAAATAGGACATGCTCTGTAGTTTAAATTCAGCTTCATGGCACTCCTTTACTCCAAAATTGTACAAAGATCAAAAAAAGATTTATTTTTTTTTTAAATTGCATCAGGGCTTATGATGTGCGATTGGAAAAAAACAAAAATCAAGATTTAAATTTTTGTCCTTACACATTCTGAACACAGACAGCCATGTAGGACCAGACTCTATTTTTAAAGCAATAAGATTTAGTGGACACGGGTTTCCTGCTTCTCATCCCTCTTTGCACAGAGCACCTCCCATTCTTTGCATGGACAGCCCTGATACTGCAGGCAAAGTCACCTCTCCACATGGACACATGGCACACTCATACACAACCTGGCTGGGTGCTCAAAGAATTAATTTTTCTTATTAAACACAAAATGAATAACACTTTTGTAGAAAAATTACAATTACAAATTAGCACAGGATTTTTTCCCATTTGAAACTTCCAGACTATGCAAAGCAGGTACACCATCCTTAAAGGATGCTCTTGGTATTAGCACCTGTTCAAACGCTGGCAGCAGAACTGAATTTTGATGATCACTTTAAAGGACTACTTCCTAAATGCTGCTTCTTCTCTAGTGATATGGTAACCACACTCTCAAGTTCAGTTTCTAACATTCAGAACCAAAAATACTTAGTGGTATCTAATTCACACTGTGAAAAGGGAACCCTCTCTGCCTCCTGTGGGATGCTGAGCAGCAAAATGCCAGCAAAGCCAGGTATTTTTAACACCAAGTTCAGCTGTATCAGTATTAACAATTTAAAATACCAGAAGATCTAACTTTATCAGAACAAGGTAAGCATTTTCTGTCTCAGCACAGATTCTCATCCTTTCTCAGAGGAATCAGTATCTTTAACCATCCAATGATTATGGGCAGAAACAAACACAATAATAATAATACACCCAGAATATTTCCCCTGACCTACCCACATGGCATGGTGTGCTTGGGAAAGGCTTTGTCAGCTCCTACCTTCCCCTGCACCCATAAACCTGACTTTTCTACAGCTGCAGGCCCTGCTGTAAATCCAAGCTCTGATTCCAAGACCCAGTGCAATGCAGAATTGCAAAACCCCACCTGTGAGCTGTGTTCAGGTATCTGCTGATGCTGTGTAGCACATGGATGTGTGTGCCAGATCATTTAAAACACATCAATGCATCCATACACTTCTAAAATGAATTTTTCCACCCATGCCCACATCCAAATGCTTCTGAAGCCTGTTTAAAGAACCTAAAACTTTCAGTCACCAACAATTAGGTAAAATAAACTACAAACCAGTGTCAAGAAAGAACATGTATGAAGCAAAGTTTTCCACCCATCAAAAGCATAGAACAAAACACATTTGAACCACTGCAAAAGAGTATAAAACCCAGCAAATGGATCAAACAAGCAAATGAATACACAAACAGCTCATTTGCACAGTGAAATTAATTACAGGGCCATAAAGTAAACTACTGCCTAGAGAGGAAGCAGGAGCATCACTGCTCCTGGTTCCCAGTGGCTGCTGAAGGAGATACATAAAACCATGGTGACTCAGTGCAATTAACACTAAAGAGGACTTACTGCTATTTTTTGGAGAGTTGTTTTGACAGATGTCCATGTGTCCAGTCTTCTATCCAGGATTAGGATAAATTTAGTGTCAGACTCATGTTGACTGCAAGATAAGAAAATATAAATAACCAGATAATGTTCCAAGAAAAGTGACTCTGTTCCCAAAAAAAAACCCAAATCCAAGAACTCAGAATGCAAACACCATTTTAGTATTTCTACAGCTCCTGAAATTCCCTTTGAAAAAAATTTCTTGAACACGCAATCTCTTTGCAGTGGTGCTTAGCAACAGGACAAGGGGCAACAGGCACAAACTGAAACACAGGGAATTCCATCTGAATCTGAGGAAAAATGTCTTTCACCTGAGGGTGGCAGTGCCCTGGAACAGGCTGTGAAGAGAGATTGTGAAATCTCCTTCTCTGGGTATTTCAAAAACCCACCTGGGGCTGTTAACACCTCCAGATATTCCAGCACAGCTCCAGGTGAAGCTGCTGTGGCTGGGGGGTTGGACAGGTGATCTTTAGGATCCCTTCTGACCCAGGCCATCCTATGATCTCCACAGTTCCCTTCCCAGCCAATCTTTCTGTGATTCCATGGCTGTGGAGCCCAGGGTTGAGCATCACCTGGGAACTGTGTGAGGTGGGGACTGCAGGCTGCTGGAGCTC